GCTGGAGGCATCACAATTCTGGACTTCAAGTTATATTACAAAGCTGTAGTGATCGAGACAGTACTGGCACAAAAAACAGACACATAGGTCAATGAAATAGAAAACCCAGAAATAGACCCATAACTATATGGTCAACTAATCTTTGACAAAGCAGGAAAGAATATCCAATTGAAAAAAGACAGTCTTGGGGTGCCTGGGTGGCTCAGTGTTGAGCGTCTGCCTTCGGCTCAGGTCATGATCCCAGGGTCCTGGGATCCAGCCCCACGTCGGGATCCCTGCTCAGCGGGAAGCCTGCTTGTCCCTCTCCCACTCCCGCTGCTTGTGTTCCCTCTCGCTGTGTCTCTCTGTCAAATAAATAAAATCTTCAAAAAAAAAAAAAAGTCCCTTCAACAAATGGTGTTGGGAAAACATGCAAAAGAATGAAACTGGACCACTTTCTTATACCATACACAAAAATAAATTCAAAATGGATGAAAGATCTAGGGGCGCCTGCATGGCTCAGTCAGTTAAGTGTCTGCCTTCGGCTCAGGTCATGATCCCAGGGTCCTGGTCAAGCCCTGAGTCAGGCTCCCTGCTCAGCAGGAAGCCTGCTTCTCCCTCTCCCTATCCCCTTCCCCCCACTCGTGCTCTGGCTCTTGTTTCCTTTCTCTCAAATAAATAAAATCTTTAATAATAATAATAATTTAAAAAATGGATAAAGATCTAAATGTGAGACAGGAAACCATAGAAGTCCAAGAGGAGAACACAGGCAGCAACGTCCTTGACATCAACCTAGCAACTTCTTAATAGATATGTCTCCTGGGGCAAGGAAAACAAAGGTAAAAATAAACTACTGGGACTTCAAGATAAAAAGCTTCTGCATAGGGAAGAAAACAACAAAACGAAGAGGCAACCTTTGGAATAGGAGACGATATTTGCAAATGACAAATCTGATAAAGGGTTAGTATCCAAAAATATTAAGTAGTTATAAAACTCAACATCCAAAAAATAAATAATCCAGTTAAAAAATGGGCAGAAGACACAAATAGACATTTTTCCAAAGAAGACATCCAGATGGCTTAACAGACACATGAAAAGATGCTCAACATCACTTATCATCGGGGAAACACAAATCTATAAAACTACTATGAGATTGCACCTCACACCTGTCAGGATGGCTAAAATCAACAACACAGGAATCAACAGGTACTGGCAAGGATGCTGAGAAAGAGCAACCCTCCTGCACTGTTGGTGGGGATGCAAACTGGTGCAGCCACTCTGGAAAACAGTAGGGAGGTTCCTCAAAAAGTTAAAAATAGGGGCGCCTGGGTGGCTCAGTTGTTAAGCGTCTGCCTTCAGCTCGGGTCATGATCCCAGGGTCCTGGAATCGAGCCCCACATCAGGCTCCCTGCTCAGCGGGAAGCCTGCTTCTCCCCTCCCACTCCCCCTGCTTGTGTTCCTGCTCTCGCTAACTCCCTCTCTGTCAAATAAATAAATAAAATCTTTAAAAAAAAAAGTTAAAAATAGAACTACCGTATGATCCAGCGATTGCAATTTGTATCCCGAAGGATACAAAAATACTGATTTGAAGAGATATATGCACCCCAATGTTTATAGCAACATTATCAACAATAGCAAAATTATGGAAAGAGTCCAAATGTCCATCTACTGATGAATGGATAAAGAAGGTGCAGTCATATATACAATGGAATATTACTCAGCCATAAAAAAGAAGGAAATCTTGCCATTTGCAATGACATGAATGGAGCTAGAGTATTATGCTAAACAAAATAAGTCAGAGAAAGACAAATACCATATGATTTCACTCATATGTGGAATTTAAGAAACAAAACAGATGAACATAGGTGGGAAAAAAGAGAGAGGCAAACCATAAAACAAACTCTTAACTACAGAGAACGAACTGAGGGTTGCTGGAGAGGAGGTTGGCTGGGGGATGGGTTAAATGGGGGATGGGTATTAAGGAGGGCACTTGTAATGAACATTGGATGTTGTATGTAAGTGATGAATCATTAATTCTGTACCTGATACTAATACTACACAGTATATTACCTAACTGGAATTTAAATAAAAACTTGAAACTACAAAAAAATAAAAATAAAATGAAAGCTCCTTACATGATTATTAAACACAGCAAAGTTTGGGAATTGCTGTATCACGTTTACTTTTCCAGATGAATTTTAATCCAATTTTATGAAGTCTCGCCCCTCTCCAAATTCCTATTGTTATTTTGATGGGATTGCATTGCACATTGAAATTTAGGATTGACTTAGGGAGAATTGGCATCATCACAATGTTTAGTCTTCTTGCCCAAGTACAAGACACTTGGCTTTACATGGTTTATATTTTTCCACGTACTTGAATCTTTTTTTATGTTAAATTCTTCAGGACTTTGTCTTATTTGTTACTATTGTATATGGAAACCTTTCTTCTATATTATTTAACTTGTTGTTGAATACATATTAGAATGCTAGTAGTTTTTTTTCACCTGTTTTTAGCCCACTTCTCTCTGCTTTCTTTAGCCTCCCTCACTTTTACACATGGAAATGCAATTTCCTTTCCCCACTGTTTCATATCATCTATTTCTGCCTCAAAGACCAAAGATAGGGCGTGCCTGGGTAGCTCAGTGGGTTAGGTGGCCAGCTCTTGATCTCAGCTCAGGTCTTGGTCTCAGGGTCATGAGTTCAAGCCCTGCATTGGGCCCCACACTGGGCATGGAGCCTACTTAAAAAAAAATTAGGATTTAGTAGCATGCTATGGGAATTTTTTCTTGATCCTGTATTGAATTCTTCTCCTTCTGTCATTCATAATCTCCTACAATGTGCCAGGAACTGTGCTCATTTGGGTGGGAGCAGATGAGTAAAACTCAGAAGCCTTGGTCTTTGCTGTCTAGTAGACTCTATAGGAAAGCATAGGAGCAAATGAAAACAGAATGATAGAGTATTATCATGCTTGGCTATAGCAGTCTGAGTGGGGTTAACTAGGAACACAAAGAAAAGAGCAGCGGATCTGAGGTGGGTGGAGGGGAGGCACTGGGAAAGGCTGGAAAGAGGAGGTAACCCTTGACCTGAGTCTGTGTTGGACCTTTTTATCAAGTACTCAGATTAGGAAAGAAGGTGTGCTTATCACATTTACATATAATACAAAACTTGGAGAGACATACTAGGTGATAAACTCAGGAATTAAAAAAAAAAAAAATTGTGATAGCAATACTTCTAGGAATGTACCCAAAGCAGGTAATCACACAGAAAGAATGTTTATCATCGTTCTGCTTATGAGTGTAATTTGGAAACAAATTATTTATTTATTTATTTTTAAAGATTTTATTTATTTATTTGAGACAGAGAGTGAGAGAGAGAACACAAGCCAGGGGAGGGAGAGGGAGAAGCAGACTCCCCACTGAGCAGGGAGCCCTACACAGGGCTCGATCCCAGGACCCTGGGATCATGACCTGAGCCAAAGGCAGACACTTAACTGACTGAGCCACCCAGGTGCCCCAAATTATTTGTTTAAATTGTGCTTCACAAATGCAATAGAATACTACACAATCACTAAAAATGTTGTAGTTCTATATTTATTACCTGAAAAGATGTGTATGCTGCGAGAAAAGAGCAATGTTACAGGACAGAATATAGTATGATCCTGTTTTAAAAATTGTGCATTCATATCAATATGCGTAGTTTCTTTTTTAATTAATAAAAGTGGAATTATACAGTTTGGGAACTTGTATTTTTTAAGATTTTATTTATTTATTTGAGAGAGAGAGAATGGGAGATAGAGAGCATGAGAGGGAAGAGGGTCAGAGGGAGAAGCAGACTCCCTGCTGACCAGGGAGCCCAATGTGGGACTCGATCCCGGGACTCCAGGATCATGACCTGAGCCGAAGGCAGTCGCTTAACCAACTGAGCCACCCAGGCGCCCGGAACTTGTATTTTATATGTATTATGCAATAGGCCTCTTTCTATACTTGCAAATGACAAAACAAAATTATCAATGCAACAGTAAACTTGCTATTATAAACGATGTTTTCTTTGATACCATTATAAACATAAACTTGTATGTTGATTTTTTAAAAAATGTAATCACTCCTAGGTAGTAGAATTTGGGATGATTTTACTTTCTTCTTTGTACTTTTACCCCCTGAAGTTTTTACAATGAAAAATAATTGTTTAAAGCACCAAACTACTCTTTTAATCATAAAAAGCTAGCTACATATCAAAATAAACAAGATGAAAGGGATATTTCATATCTTCCAAGTAAAGCGAACAAAATAGGGGAGGGGCAACTTGATATTTTACATGAATAAGATCTGCAGTTTTAATTATTCATCTAATTACATGTGCAACTGTGCATAGCCCCATGATATGATGTAGTTGCTAAATTTGAATGCAATTTTAAGCTACATTAAAAGAATTATAATATGCCAACCATTGGACTGTGAGCTTGTCCAACCACGTGTGGATTCAGTTCCAACTTTGCACTATAGTAGAAGACATTATAATTTAGGATGTGTTCAGTCAGAAGAGAGAGATCAGAAATACGGTCACAGATCAATGTTGAGAAACCTCACAACAATTAGCCTGGAAAAGAGATGATGCAAGAGGGCACATGTCTGATATTCTCAAATATTGTGAAGATGGGAAACAGCATAGAGTTCTTCTGTGTTGCCCCAAAGAGCAAAACTGGGGCACAGGAATAGGATTTATAGAGGGGCAGGGTTCAGCCCAACATCAAAATATAAATCAGAGCTGCCCTCAAACAGACCTGGCTGCCAACAAAGACGTAAGTGTTCAAAGCAGTTAAGTGATCATTTGACAAGGAGGTGAGAGTGCTGGGAAATGGTTTCAAATGACGTACAGATGAATTAGGTCCCTTCTATTTTTAAGATTCGATGGTTTATTTTTTTTCTCCATAAATATGAATCCTCATTGGCCCCATATTTTGTTCATTTCTGACAACATCTTCATTTGATCAGTCATTTTAAATTACAATTCCATAGGGGTGCCTGACTGGCTCAGTTGGTAGAGCATGCGACTCTTGATCTCAGGGTTGTGGGTTTGAGCCCCATGTTGGGTGCAGAGATTACTTAAAAATAAAATCTTTAAAAAAAAATGTAGGGGCAGTTGGGTGGCTCAGTCGGTTAAACATCTGCCTTCACCTCAGGTCATGATCCTGGGATCTTGGGATCGAGCCCCATGTCGGGCTCCCTGCTCGGCAGAATCTGCTTCTCCCTCTGCCCCTGCACTTCCCCTCCCTCTCTTTCAAATAAAATCTTCTTAAAAAATGTTTTAAAAAATTACAATCTTGGGGCATGTGGGTAGCTCAGATGGTTGAGCGTCTGCCTTCAGCTCACATCATGATCTCAGGGTCCTGGAATTGAGCCCCACATCAGGCTCCTTGCTCAGTGGGGAGCCTGCTTCTCCCTCTCCCTCTGCCTTTCCCCCTTTGCTCATGTGCTCTCTCTCTCCTTCTCTCAAATGAAAAAAAATCTTAAAAAAAAAATTACAATCGCATAATCCTTAGCTGGGAGAGCCCATGGCCCAAAGGCCAGATGATAATTAAGAAGGTATTTCTTGGTATGAGTTCATGCCAAAGAAATTGGGAAATGTATCTTGCTGAACAACCTTGCTGAACAACCTCTTTTCACTTACAGGATTTGTCTCAATAAAGGGAAATTTTGTTTCTAAAAGATATGCAGTGCTACCTGAAATGGGTAATGATGATTCAATTCCCTTCCCTTGATGACCCATCAAAATCACTCATAGCAGGTCTCCTATTGATTGTACCACCCTCTCTTGGCAAGGGTACTTTTATATGAACCGATGTCGGCAACAGTTACAATAAGGTTAACAACAGTTAATAAGTTATTAAGAAAGTTATTTTAACATAGCTATTTAAAGATCATTTTGACAAAGTATTCTGTGCAAGAGAAATTCTAAACACTTAATGCCATCCTTGAACCTATTTCCAGTCCTTACCCAATTTTCTGTCCCATCCCTGAATCTTGCTGCATTGCACGACCTTATCAATTCCTTTATTCCTACTCCATGACAGAGCCTGAGCTCATCCTCACCCTTCCCCATCTAGGAAAAGGGTGTGATTCCTTGGGAAATGGAGCTGAGAAGGCCTTAGGTAGGAGAGAGGTGGGAGAAATAATTTCTCATTTTTCTCTGAAACTGCTTTCTTAGATGCAAACATCTGGAAGTCAAGATGTCTAATGAAGGAGGGAGTAAGTGGGGGGCTAAAATAGTGCCCACCATAGGGAAGCAAGCCATCAGCTAGACTGGGGTAAAATCTTCAAATTTCTGAGGGGAAGATTAATTTTTAAGCAAGATTATTTATTATTATGAATCTGTTTGTTTCTTATTATACTCTATTTAGGCTTGCTTAGAGGCTTTATTTCTATCTGATGATCACAACTGAACCATTTATTAATTTGTGGATTTGTTCAATCATGCATTCACTGATTCATCAAAGATTTATTGAACACTATAGTCAGTAGCAGGAACACAAGAAGGAACAAGAAATAGACCTACCTTCAAGATGCCCATGCTCCAAACTGGATGGGATCTCCAACCTTGATGCTCCCTAAATAGAAAGGTCAAACTTGGCAGAGTGCAATAGCCCAGCAGTGATCTCTACTAGTGAATTCTCTTCCCAAAGGCCAATCTTAAACACATGGGGTTTTGTTAATATAGCTCCTGGGGGGGGTGCCTGGGTGGCTCAGTTCATTGTGCATCTGACTCTTGATTTCGGCTCAGGTCATGATCTCAGGGTAATTAGATCGAGCCCCACATTGGGCTCTGCACTCAGCGGGGAGTCTGCTTAAGATTCTCTCTTTCCCTCTCCCTCTGCCCCTACCCCTGCTCATGCTCTCTCTAAAATGAATAAATCAATCTTAAAAAAAGAAAAGAAAGTAGCTCCCTGGGAAACTCCTATTCATCCTTTGAAACTTATGTAAAATACTTAGGATAGTGCCTGGCATTGTATTTAGGAAACCTTCCTTGACTTGCTTTGATACTGAAGTATTATGAATAATCCCCCAGACCACTTTCATACTTCACTGTTGGCCTTTCTGTCTCCATTTCCAGATAGTTAATTCCTCAAAAGGAAGGACTGCATTTTAGCATGACTGTATCCTAGTGCCCAGCAGAGTTTCTGGCTCGTGGCTGGTGTGCAGTAAACCTCCCCAGAAATGAACTGCCCTGAAGACTTCGTGTTCTGCTGTTGCCAAAGCAATTGACTTCCTGGTATTGGGTTCACCTCTCTTTTCAGACAATCTCTCTCCCCACACAATCTGGATACCAAGGTTTGTAGACATGCTGAGTCACCACAGGAGAGAGACTTAGAGGAAACCTTTCTACTTTAAGGAACAGTTATTTTCATTCTCTTAAATGTCAGCATTGTCTCTGCTCCCATTTTAAGATTCCATATAGGGAGCTCTTCTATGTGGGAAGAGCTGATTGCAGCTCAGTTGTTTCTGGACACGTCTATCCTTCATCCAAAGTACCACAGGATGGAATCCGTGTGTTTTCACACAGGGATCCTCTCCTCTGAACCTAATTTAATGTCCTGAGTTATAAAAGGGAGTCATTATCATTAAGCCTGTTATTCGGGATAACCTCTACTGATGCTGACAAGGTTTTGTAAACCAGAAATCAGAGCTCATGTTCAGTTGCACAGGGAAATAATCACAGGTTGAGGCAGAAGTTAGGACTCTCACAAATAACTGGGACATAGGATCACTGGGTGTAGCACTCCCCTCCCCAAATAGAATTCTCCTGATGTCAAGCATGTGCTCTATTCTTCAAAAAGTATACCACGGTTGTCAATATACGTACAGTAACCCCCTTGTTCTTCCATCTAAATCCGCAAGAAGGCTGCGTGGTCTCACAGAGAGAAAATGCACTTGGACCTGGATTTGAATTCCTGGCTTTGTTACCTACAACTTGTGACTTTGGGCAAGTTAGTTGACTTCTCTGAGCCTCTTTTCTTATCTACAAAAGGGTTATCTTGGGATGAAGGGCATAACATGTCTAGCAGACACAATAGACACTTGGTATATCCTAGATCCTCTTCTGTCTTCTTTAGCTCCTGTGAGATACCGAAATGATCACTTTATAAAAACAAACCAAAACAAAATTAAAAAAAAAAAAAAAAGGGTGCCTGGGTGGCTCAGTTAAGCATCTGCCTTCAGCTCAGGCCAAGGTCCTGGGATTGAGCCCCGAGTTGGGCTCCCTGCTTCTCCCTCTCCTTCTGCTGGCCACTCTGCCTTCTTGTGCTTTCTCTCCCTGTCAAATAAATAAATTAAAAAGTCTTAAAAAAAAAAAAAAAGACAAGACAACAGGATTAAAATTCTGGCTTCCAAATCCCTGAGTATTTTGCCCCAGGAACTGTCACACACAGAATAACCTGGGTTGCATCTGGATTGGGGTCCCAGTGGCTCCAGTGGCTCACTGTGAGCTCAAGAATTGGACATTTTTTTTTAAGATTTATTTTTTTTATTTTAGGGGGCGGGGCAGAGGGAGAGAGAGTCTCAAGCAGACTCCATGCTGAGTGCAGAGCCTGACTTGAGGCTGGATCTCACAACCCTGAGGTCAAGACCTCAGCCAAAACCAAGAGTCAGATGCTTAACCAACTGTGCCACCCAGGCACCCCTGGACATTGTATTTTTCTTTGGGTTGACAGGGGCCAATTTCCCTAGAATCAAATTCATGAGACTTGCCATGTTGATTCAACTTTTGTCATATATATTGATAGATGCCATTTAGAACACAATTCAAAATCTTGTCAAAACCATATTCTGCATTCCTTCAAACTTAGGTCGTGAAATTTACAGATCGTCATTTTTGGTAGAAACCCAAGTTCTCTGTAGATCTCCAATGCTACATATCTCAGCAAGTAAAATTGTGAAAGATCGGGTTTTGTCTAATAAGGGTTCTTTGTTTCGAAATCAGTTTGTTTCCTTAGAAATGTTTTCAAGTTCATTCTTGATGGTTTTTCCCTAAATTTTTCCAAGCTGTTAAAGTGAGGCTGACTAATACATTATGTACAATGTAAACAAAACTCTGAAAGGAAAACAATTGAACTTAAATTTAATGACAATGCAAGTATGTTTATAATACGTTGTGTAAAAACCGCAGGCTATAAAACACAGAATGAACTTCAACTTCCTTTCAAACAGAATACATATATATACATTTAAGTATGAAAAAGTCCAGGAAGATATGTACCAAACTGATGACAATGATTATCCTTAGATTGCAAAATTACAAATAACTTAAAACATTTTTTTCTAGTTTCTAATTTATGAATCAATTGTCAGGTAGTCTAAAATGAGCATATGCCACTTGTTTAATATAGGGTAAAAAAGCCCCAAAAGTTATTTTAGTTGTTAAAATCTTTCTTTTCTTCTTTTAAGATTTTATTATTTATTTGACAGAGAGAGAGAGAGCACAAGCAGGGGGAGTAGCAGAGGGAGAGGGAGAAGCAGGCTCCCCCTTGAACAGGGAGCCCAATGCAGGACTTAATCCCAGGACCTTGGGATCAAGACCTGAGCTGAAGGCAGATGCCCAACTGACTGAGCCATCCAGGCGCTCCTAAAATCTGACTTTCAAAATGATAAGTTGGTTGGACAACTGTGTTACTGTTATTTATATCTCATGCTATACCATTTTAAGCCACTAAAACAGCCCAGATAACCATTTGGTGAAGCTCCCAACCCCAGGCACAGAGCTTCCAGGCAAGTTTTTTGTGTTCCAGTCTTAAATTATAAGAAAAAAATTTTAAAAATACCCCCAAATTCTATTATTAATATGATTAGTATCCATGAAATGAGAATAAGATACTGTTAAAAGAAAAAAATTCAGAAAACAAAACAGAGTTTTTAAAAATTAATATATATGACAAATAAAAAACACAATAAAAGGTAGGAAGATAAAGTCAAGGATATACCCCAGAAAGCAGAATAAAACAATAAAGAGAGGGAATGTAAGAAAAAAAATTTAGAGATTCTGTTCAGGAAATCCAACATTCAAATAATGGGGTATTTCAAAGGGTGGGGTAGGTGACAGAGA